TAGTGAAGTTTCTTTGAGGTTTTGGGTGGTAAGCCAGGCAATTTTTTCAGTAGTTATTGTCTTTAATGTACTTGTTCTGGTCTGAGACGGATAGTTCTCGAAATTTGACGCACGTTATCATCGAGTGGTTTGAATTGCATAGTTTACATGAAACTTGCCTTTTGTTTTGAGTATGAAACGATTGGGTTCTGTTCCGATAATTGAGTGTTGTGGTCTCGTAGGCCTCTGTGCATGCTGGGCGTGTCGTCTCATCTTCCACGTTGCTCATCTGTACGTTTCGGTTTGCTGCCTCCACTAGTTCCATGAGTCTTTCCAGATGGTCCTTGAAAATTTTTAGTGCTGCTTCAGAGTGAGTCTCTTCAGAAGTGCTCCACCATTTACCGCAGAATTTTTCCATCCTGGATAGCTCGTATAAAAATTTATATATATATATATGTACGTATTTATGTTATATTTAAATAATTTATTTAATGGATAGCTTTTATGTTGTGTATTGTACTGTCTCAGCGCGTCTGAGCACAGCAATGTATAAATGTATACTGGGTTTCTCGTATACCTTTTTTGTATGCTGGGTGCTTTACTTAGCTTATACGAGTATGTACGTATGTATACTTATGACTTGCTATGACGTGGTGACTTTGGGCAGTGTAATGTGGTTACACTGGTTTCGGTCCAGTTGGGGTGTATATACCGAGAATATATATACTTGGGCGGTTGTATGAGAGCGCACACTGATCCGATTCTGGTTCCTTTCGAAGGTGTTTTTGGACCAGTTGAAGTTTATTAAGGGGGGATTTATATACGTGAGGGGATGTATAATAAGCGGTTTTTTGAATTAAATTATATACTTTTGCTGAGGAAAGCGCGCGGTTTCATATATATGTATTAATCTATTATATATGAGTGCTGTTATATTCGGTAAATGAAAAGTAGAGGATTTTCATTTACCGACTTTGGGGCATCCGCTATATGTATTATATACCGTATATATATTATATATATTATTCCTTATTGTTTTGCGGATTTTGTAATTTTGCTCGAACTTTCCATAAGAAATTATAATTTTGTTTATGAGATTACGTACATATGTATACGACAAAAGAGTATCATACACAGCACGAGCAAAATCCTATAAGCAAAAGTATATTATTTAGTAAGAATGGGTGGGACTTACTTTGGCATCCGGACGAGTTCAAACCAATTTTGAGAAGGGGATGGTGCTGAGGTAATTTTCTAAGTCTGCTGTATGTATGTGACGTGCACTTTTCTTTATTAGTAAATTTCTTTTTTTGAAGTTTTATCTAATTTGAACACCTTTTATATATGTAAGTAAATATGTTCGTATTTTTTTTCTACTTTTTCACTTTTATTTTGTTTAGTCGTGTATGTACATAGATATGCATATATGTATGTATATATGCATATGTTTTTTCCGTTTATATATTTCCCGATATGATTTCAATTTGTATTTATCTCGATTATTTATGTATTATACTTTTGTTTATTCAAACAATTTTTTTTTTTATTTCGAAGTTTATATAAAAGTTTTTAAATTTATAATTTTCATTTTAACATCTGTATGTTTGTATGTGACTAAAATAAATAAATACACGAGGTTTAGGTTTACACCAATGTATGACCTTTTATTCAACTCAAGTGCTTAAACGATAATGACTCCTTAATAATAAGCTTACTTATTCATCACCCACACTTCGAGCTTCTATCTCTGAGTATAAGATGCGAAATGTGAGAGAGGCGTTAGAAGTAGAGTTACACACGTACATATGTAGTCGACATATATACGTATATATGTCACTCCTCACAACTTTATAAGTGACCATATGTCTTCAATAGAGTACTTACATTTAGATTTAATACATATTTGTTCTTAATAGATATTGTTTTTTTAGTTTTAAATATATACTTTAGAAAACTATCTACAATACTTTTTTTTGTAGGTTACTATGATGATGATTGGTTATTATTGCTTATGTTATTTAAATAATATGAAAACAACAAAAAGATAAAGCTCAAATTAATAAACAAATTTCATTTCTTCAATATTTTTTCTTTTGTCTTTTGAACTGGGTTTTATACTTTCTGACTTTTTGGTTTTTTAATTTTACAATATGATGTTCCCCATCTTCTGTTTTTAACAATCTTACATGTCTAAATGGATTACATATCTTATCTAATCTTTTTCTTGAATTTTCCGCATTTACAAAATTAGTATCGACATCTTTTTCTTGTCTGTATTTATTAATATTTTCAATTGTTTTTTCTTTAACTGCTTGCGGGTCATTTTTGGTGGCTCCTTATTAGAAAATATCTTATAAGGAATTTCCCCAGTAGTTGAGTGAATAATTGTGTGGTTGTACGTAAAAATTACTTGTTATATTTCTAAATATTTCAATTCTTTGTCTTCCGATGTATTTATTATTCTCAATTTCTCATTGAGGGCTTTATGCAAACGCTCAATATCACCTATGCCTGTTTTGCCTGTTGTTACTTCAACTTTTATGTTTAATTGATCACACCACCGATGTTTATGTTATTCAGGCCTTGATCTTGGTCAACCTTCGTAATCTTAGGGGGTCCCATAGTATTAAATGCTTTTAATAGCGCTCTCTTGCTTTCAAGCCAATTTAATGATTTTACGTTCTCTACCATAGCAATTTTTGAAAATAAATCAATACAAGTCAAGTAAAATTCATTGTTCCACTTCCAAAAGTCTTTAACATATTTTTCTCTATTTTCATATACCGGAGGCGTAACCTTGAATGGTAGTTTGTTTGCAATGTGGTCACTTTTACAGTGATTACAAAGCTTGCAACTATTAATAATATTTGAAATTTCTTTAAGGTAGTTTGGATAATAATATTTGTCTTTAAAAAATTTTGCTACTTTTTCTATCCCTTGGTGTAGTCCATTTATATGAATTTCTGTAACAATAAATTTGAATTCGGAATATTCTAAAATGTTTTTTAATTCTTTATTTGCCCTATAAATTTTATTTCTCCTACTAGTTATCAAGCTTTTATAAATATTTTGGAACCGCAGAAAGTCGTTATCGTTTGGCATTCTTTAATAGATATGTTTTAATGATTTCTTTTGTGTATTCTGGTGTTAGTTTTTTGTAAGTTATCAAAACAAGCTTATTAGTGAAAATTTTGAGCGTTTCACAGCTATTTTCACTTCCTCTTATTAGTTTAACCTGATTTTTAAATAAATTTAACGGCCTTTCTGTTATATGGATATAACTTTCGTTATCTTCCTGTGCCGAATGGATTGTTGCACAATTTGAGGCGATTTCGTCTTCCTCAGCATTGCATTCCTTTATTTTTATGCGCGACAACGCATCGGCAATGTGATTATCCCTATCCGGTATGTATTTCACGTCGAAATCATACTCATTGAGGCGTATCTTCCATCTTTGCAGTTTTGCATTTGGTTCCTTCAAGTTATGCAACCATTGAAGTGGTCTATGATCACTGTTGATGGTAAATTTCCTACCATACAAATATGGTCTGAAGTATTTAGTGGCCCAAACCAGAGCTAACAGCTCTTTTTCTGTGGTGAAGTAGTCAAGCTCATGCTCATTCAGAGTGCGACTCGCAAAGCAAATAGGGTGACTTTGTTGGCTTAATACTGCCCCCAAGGCGACGTAAGAAGCGTCTGTAGTTAACGTAAATGGCTTTTCGTAATTGGGGTACACTAATATAGGATCTTCAGTTATCAAAATTTTAATGGTATCAACGGCATTTAATCCACAATATTGTCTTGAGCGTTTACCGTATTACCTTTTTTTTAACAGTTTGTTAGCGGTTTTGTAATTTTTGCAAGGATTTTTATGAATTTGCGGTAAAAACCCGCCAAACCCAAAAACTGTTTAATCTCTTTTTCCGTTTGAGGCACAGGATAATCTAAAATCGCCTTAATTTTATTTGGGCTTGGCTTAATGCCTGATGGGGTTACTACGTGCCCCAAAAACTCTGTTTCATGTTTTAAAAACTCACACTTAGCATCAGACAGTCTTTGGAATACTGTGTTCATCAGCCTTTGGAATTTGGCTGGGGCATTTTTTAGCCCAAATGGCATACGCAAGAACTTGTTATGCCCTCCTTGCGTAGAAAATGCGGTTTTCTTCCTATCAGTTGGGTCCATCTCGATTTGGTGGAAACCCTGCGCCAAATCCAAAGTGGAAAAGTACATACATTTACCTACCTTGTCCAAGATTTCATCCATGTTCGGGATCGGGTACCTATCGTCTATCGTTACTGTGCTTAACTTACGAAAGTCGAAAACTATTCTCCATTTCTCTTTCCCTGATTGATCCGGTTGCTTAAGCACAACCCATGGCGGGGCAGAGTACGGAGAATCGCTATGGCAAATAATCTTTTGCTCAAGCATTTCCGCAATTTGTCTGTCTACTTCCGCCTTGTGCACTTCCGGATATCGGTAAGACTTTACATAGATAGGATCTTCGTGCACGGTTTTGTTTTTATGTTTTATTTTGTGGGTGAAAGTTAGCTGATTTCCTTCCTTAAAAAAATAGGGTTAAATTTTGCCAATAAGCCTTTGACCTGTTGAAGTTCCTCAATATTTAAGTGGCTCAATCTATATTTAGTTTTATCTTTGTCATCATTCATAAATTTAAATTACTGCTTAAGTGATCTACAGAATTACTGTCATTACAAAATGAATAAAGCTTTCCGCTTAAATGTATATTAATATTTTGCAAAATAATTTTCGACTTCAGTTTCTCAAGTATATCAAAACCCAAAAGTCCTTCGAAACTTTCAGAAAAGTTATGCACATAGAATTTTAAATTATGTTTAGTAAATGCAATTATTTCCTGTATTTTGTCTAGAACAACTTTACTTGTTGCCGTTTTTAAAATAATTGGTTTTACCTTTATAACTTCATTACTTAATATACATGGTTTAATTAAACTTACGGCTGAGCCCGTATCTATTAAAAATTTAATTTCTTTATTATTTAGTGTCAATTTAATCGAGGGTAGTCTTCCGAGGCTTCTAATTGAAAATTTGAAGCATCTTGATCCATTGGGTCAGGTTGACCATATCTTCGTATTCTTGATTGATTCGAGCCAACGGGATGAGATACTCGTGTTTGTAATGAACTTGTTTGCAGGGCATTGCCTGGGGTATATGTAATCGGACCATTGAATGAGTTGGTACAATGACTTTGTTGACTGGGGTGGCTAACCTTCACCTGTCTGGTCTGATTTTGACATAAATTAGTATTGCTGAATGGATCTCCCTGTGTATGAAAGTTGTTGTTATTTACAGGCAGACAAAGATGATATTTATCGAATCAACTTTTATTAAGTTTGTTATTATTAGGGTAATGGGGAGCGCGTAGGTTAGTTTTAACATCTCTTTTATATTCATAATCAAAAGCATCATTTTCTTTTAAAATTTTACCTGCAAACTTTACGTTAGTGGCTAAGTTTGCATTTATCAACGCAGTTAAATGGTTTGGCAATTCTGTTTTTCAGAGTTTCAGTACTTAATTGTTCTAATTCATTTGTCAAAAAGTTTAAGTTGTTTAAGTTGCAATATTTTAATTTTTAATTTAATACAATCCTTAATTATACAAATTGCGTTATTTATTTCTTCACAAAGAATACGTACGCTACCTCTAAATTTTATACTACTTACTTGTAAAATAAGAGTCAAGATTGGAGTGCGTTCTCCAAACTCATCAACTAAAAGTTCTCTTAGTGTGGACCAATCTGACGGCTGCTCCCTTCTTTTGACGTCCAACGCTGCCCCTTGTAAAGTTCGTAGTATGCAGTTGAAATAAAATGCTTTCTCAGTCGGTTGCGTTGAATCAACCACAGGCATTATGGAATCAATGCTATCGATATACAGTACTAAGCTCTCTTATTTGCTGTGCTTCGGCCATGTTTGTTGTTTTTGTTTCAATTGTCTAATTTTTTTAAGCACTTATTTAAAATTTCTAACTTTTTATTTAAGTTCATCTATTTCTCTTTTTATATTGGAAAGTGCGAAGTATTTAAATCTCTCATCACATCGATTATATATTTGTTATATGTAACAACAAAATGCAAACAAAACTAAATGGGTTTTGTTTCTCACGTTTGTAACATACAGCACACAAACAACAATGCAGATATGCCGACTGCTTAGTGTTGTAGTGTTCAAAAGTTTAGCACGCAATAATGTTTTTGTTGTTTATACAATCATTTGTTGCTTTTATTTAGTTTTCAGTTTTTCAGTTGCACTATTTGTATTTGTTTCACTTAGTGCTACTGTTAAATGAAATGTCACTCTTAAGTTTTTCTTTAAAGTTTAAAATACGAGTTCTTCTCTTACTTTCTAAGGGTCATTTGAAAGTCAATTCAAACTTATTTAACAAATTAGGTTAGAAAACACTTTTTCCATTATTATATTTGTTTTATATCTCTGATAATATTTTTTTTTTTAATTTCAAGTATGAAATTAGTCTTTGTATGTTTTAATATTTAATCTTTGTAGTTAGAACATTTGTGCATAGGTTCGTTTTAAGGATCTTTTTCACAGATCCTACCGACTGCGCCACTAAAATAAATAAATACACGAGGTTTAGGCTTACTCCAATGTATGACCTTTTATTCAACTCAAGTGCTTAAACGATAATGACTCCTTAATAATAAGCTTACTTATTCATCACCCACACTTCGAGCTCCTATCTCTGAGTATGAGATGCGAAATGTGAGAGAGGCGTTAGAAGTAGAGTTACAGACGAACATATGTAGTCGACATATATACGTATATGTGTCACTTGTGTATTTGCGAATTCACTTTTCCATTTACTTCACTTTGTTCCACCGTTATGTCACTTCAGCTAGAAATGTTATTTTTATGTATAATGTTTCACATGTTATTATTTATTTTTATGTTATATATTATTATACTTTTCCTTTTTTGCATATAGGTAAATGGAAATTATGTAAAATATATACATATGTATGTTTTATATAAATACGTTCACCGCGCAAAGAATAAATAGGTAAGTATAATACGGGTATGTATAACTTTATTATATAAGTTAAGCTTTTGATTTATTTAAAACTTTTTTTAAAACAAGGTGGACTCGTGCCCACCTGTCTTTCTTTATTGAGTTCCTTCTAAAAACTGATTACATTCATTTACTTTACTTAAAACTAAACTTAAGTTTACCCTAAAAACCTGGTCACGTTATGTTGACGTTGCAATACTAAAAGTTGATGTTTCCTATATTCCCAGCACGTTATTTTGACGTTGCAATAATAAAGTTGATGTTCCAATATTCTCAATTTGGTTTATGCGGTGTCAGCGTCTAAGCGGAATCGCGTGTGAAGTTATTGGCCATTATATGAAGCTTACTATAAACTGCTGTGTTAACTCCTCCCCCTTTAAATATGATCGTCCTCGATCATTAATAGAATGGTAAGTTATTAAAATTTACATACGTTGGAATTTGGCTTGGCTCGCTTGGGGGAGTTTCGTCAATTTTTGTTATAGATCTTACATTTTTCTCTTCCACATATTGTACTTTTATTGATCTCTTCCTTAGGAAAATGATAACTATGATAATTAAGCAAAACGCTATTGCGGTAAAACTTCCGACGGATAAAGTTGCTTTCTTCAGAAAATTTATTCGATGTATGTTGTGGATATGTAAGTCTTTTATGCTCTGTAGGTTTTCTAATGGGGCTGATTGCAGAATCGCAGGAAGAGTTTCGATTGCCTTTGCTTCGGTATTTATAAATTCTTTATTGTTGATTTTAATGGATGCGTTGTAAAATGTTATTACATGCCTTCCGTTTATTAATTGAGGGGTATTGTCGATTTCACCTTCTCCAATAAATTGATTCAATAATATTACTCCTGGTTTCATTTCTTCTAACGTCGGGACGTGGTGACCATTGCTTGTCGTGCAGGTTGAATTTAAACTATTCATTATTCTTGTTATACAAAGATTTTTACTTAAATCTACTAAATTTTTCTCTTTACAAATTGTTTTATCATTCAAATATTCATATTTATCTTTTATTCCATATAATAAACTTTTTCCTTTTAACACTTCTTTAAATTCAGTTTCAATTATAATATTGTTAATCTTATTTACAGGTCTTATAATAATTTTTTTTTAAAAATTTCTTTTGTCGTTAAAGGTATTTTAATAATATATAAAATTTTCATATTATTGTATAAAACATTTATTTTCGATAATTCTAGTGTTTCTTCTGCACTTTTTAATGGTATTTTTTCTTTTATTCATTTTTCCATAGATAGTTCAATTTCTTTTTTACTTAATATTACTGAGTTTACAACATTGTTTTTTGCCCATTGAATGGCGTATCTAATATTTATTAATTCTTCTTAAATTAGTCTAATCCTATTTTGATAATTTATTAAAATTTCAGTCATTGTGTTATCATCTCTACTAATTGAGTTTATCATTTTATTAAATATATTAGTTATATTATTTATACGTTTTTCAAACAGATTATTAATTATCATTTGATTATCACTATTTTCATTTAATTTATTTAAGTTATCTGTTATCATGTTAAGATCTTCATGATCTGGAGATCCGGCTAAATATTTCCAAGCCGTTCCCAATATGTCAATTGATCTTTTTATTTTGTTATTATTGGAAGGTTTAAGGGTGTTCAGTATATCAAAGGTTTGGGTGGTTTCATGTTTTAGGATAGGGTATAGGAAATTGTTCTTAGGGATTTGGGTAGTTATTTCGTTATAAGTGTCCGTCAAGAATTGTTCGTATTTTTCTAAGTCAATCAGATGAATAAATCTAAACGTGCCGTCTTGTATTTTCGCTTGTCCATTGTCTATTGTAACTAGTTGTGCCTTACTGTAATCCAAAATTTTTACTTCGGATAAGGAGGATGTAATAGCGGTATAAACAATTAAGATTTTTAGATAGTTCATTTTGCCTGGAAGTAAATTGATCAAGTTTTTATTAGTGATTTGTGAATTATTCGTCCTGTTGTAGTTTTAACTGTTGTTCTATTATTTTCGGCTACTGTTTCTTTCTTATACTTTGGAGTTAATTTCGATCCTAATCTTTTATTTATTTTAACATAAATGGTATCTCCTGCAGAATAATTTTTTATTTCAGATCTTTGCTTGTTATGGTAAGATAAGTCAATCTCCTGTTTCCTTTTTAATTGAGCAATGTTTTTTTGTCTTTGTTGTTCTAATTGTATGGGGTCAGTAAAAATTCTATTTCCGAAAAATATAGTTATTGGTTTGGTTTTTGTTGTAGAATGAATTGATGAGTTATATTCTTGTACTGATTTAAATAGTAATTCCTCGAATGATATTCCAATGCAAGTTGCTTTGAGGCATCTCATAATTTCAGAAAGTGTACTATGGAATCTCTCTACTTGTCCGTTACTTGTGCTGCTCTAAGGTGGTGTGGTATAAACGTTGATGGACATTTGGTCTTTAAGAAGGCATGATACGGTAACAGAATTTAGGGATTTTTCATTATCAATTACTACAAGTTTTGGTATTCCGAAGGCAATCATTAATTCTCTTAATGGGTCTTTAATATGTTCTATGGCTTTACTTTGTATTATTTTAACCTGAGCGTATTTGGAAAATTTGTCAATTGCTGTGAGGATTAATTATTTTTCAGTTGAATAAATATCTATGTGGACGATGTCTCCTGGAGATTGAGGAATAGGAGTTTCTTGTATATGTGGCTTTGGTGGGTGTCTATCGTATTTGTGTTCACGACATGTAGAACATTGTTTGACTATTTTTTCTGTTTTCGAATGCATGCTTGGAAAATAATATTTTTTTAAAATTTGAGTTTTATTTTCACGACTATTCCTGTGTGCTCTTTGGTGTTCTTTAATGATTATTTGATCTTGTTCCGTCTCTGAAACTATGTCTTGAAGTAAAGTTTGATTGAGCCGAATTTTAACATTTGCGAAATGGAGTGGGTATATGTCTTGTATTTTACTTTCTGTAGTGTAAAGTCCGTTAAGTAAAGCTGGGTCGAGATATCTTTTGAATATATTTATAATGTCTTGTGTAGAGTAATCTGGTTTTGTGATGGTGTGTCTGTGAAAGCTTGGAAAGGGTATTTTAAATGAGTAACTATCTTCGTTGCTAAGCTGTAAAAATAACTTATTTTTGAATTCATTTATTGGTGCTTCGGTTGATGGGATGAGGTGATGAGAAGAACTTTCATCGCTATGGTCAGTTGTTGATAATACATTGATGTCGGTATGTGGAGGTCTAGAGAGTGCGTCTGCTACGACGTTTGTCTTTCCTGGCTTGTATTTCATCTCGGGATTATATTCTTCAAGGATACGCTTCCATCTCTTCATTTTGCCATTGTGGTTTTTATTACTCAATGCAAAAGTGAACGGTTGGTGATCTGTGAAAATTACAACTTTTGCAGATCCATACAAGTAGTTTCTTAGTGAGGTAAGAGCCCAGATGATTGCTAACATCTCTTTTTCATTTGCAGCATAACTCTCTTCAGTTTTATTTAATGAACGGGATATAAATCTAAATGGTTTTCCTGCTTGCTCAAGGACGGCTCCTAAAGCGTAGTTGGATGCATCAGTAGTTAAGTGGAATTCTTGTTTAAAATTTGGATATGCTAATATAGCTTCTTTTGAAATTAATGAGGCTTTAATTTTATTGAATGCATCTAAAGCGGTTCGGTGGAACGCAACTGGCTTTTTACTGGAGGCATTTTTGGACACGCGTCCATCTCTCCCTCTCAAAAGCGAGTCCAGTGGTTTCGCTAAATAGGCGTAGTCTTTGATGAAGAAGTATCTGAAGTCTTTTAGTGCTTTTGGGCACGGAAACTCCTGAATTGCCTTTACTTTGGAGGGATTAGTTTTTATACCTGTGGGTGAAATAATGAAAGCTTAAAATTCGACTTCTTTGCGGAAAAATCGCATTTGTCCAACTGTACTTTCATAGTCGCTTTTTCTAATGTATAGAAAATTGTTTCGATATTTTGAAGGTGGCTTTGTTCGTCTTTGCCAAAAACTATTATGTCATCAATATAAACATAACAAATTTTTCCTATATGGTTGTTTAATATGTGGTCCAAAGACCTTTGGGAGATGGCTGTTGCGTTTTTCAGACCGAACGGAAGTGGGGTGAATTCATATTTTCCGTTGTTAATTGAAATAGCTGTCTTCTCGATGTCGGTTTCCTTCAAGGGAATCTAATGGTCTGTACATCGTTTGGCCAGAAGCATCTAGCTTTTTAGGTATGACCTATACGGGAGAGTTGTACTGTGATTGGGATTGCCTGATTGTTCCGTCTTGTAGAAGATTTTCTATTTCTTGATTAACGAAGTCTCTCATTATCAAAGGGTAGGGGTAGTATTTTGTGTATTCTTGGGTCTCTGAGGAGGTTCTAATTTCTCCTACTGCAGTAGTGGTGAATGTGAGTTTCTCGTCTGGTTCGGTAAATAGATTGGGATTTTTGTTTGTGAGTTGGAGTATGTGTACTTTTAATGTTTCTGTTATGTGATCTACTCTTATGTCTATTTTGTTAACATTTCTGTTATGTGATCTACTCTTATGTCTATTTTGTTAACTGATGGGGAAAGCTGTTGTTTAATTTTGATTTTCATTCCGTTGCCAAAGGTGAGGCAGTTGTCGGTAATATTAATATTAGCTTGAAGGTCTTTAA